AAGAATGACAAAAAAAACCTCTTTCATCTTTATTACGAATATCATCATCATTTTAAGAAGCTTATAACACTTCCTGAAGAAGCTCCTTCAGTTGCCTCTCAGTGCAGAAAATAGGAGCTATAGTGAAACTAATATAAATAGAGAAGGGAGGCCCAGTGGGAGGCTCTTCTCAATTATTTTTGAGCACACTATGGACAGATACTCAGAACAAGCTTAGCAGGTGCTGGAAGCAATAGCAAACTAGACTGCCTAGTAATGTCAAAGAGAAAAGTCATCAGGCAACTTCTATATTAAGGTACTCTAAGATCTCTTAAATGTTTGTTTCCACAATCAGAGTTGACCTAAGACCATGCAGCCACAATAGGATGAGGAAAGTAGCTTTCCCCTCCCACACATCCATTACCACCAACATTCACAACACTTCTCAATGCAGCGCCTGGTGATTGCATCACACTGACTGGCTGTTTCCATGAGAAAAACAAACCAGAGTAGAACGGAAGAGAAATGAACAATACTGGTTTTGAGTTAGCAGAAGCTACACAACTTTAGATTGGTTTCAGCATCAGCCCTGTGTCTTTCATCACAGGAGTTTGTAGCAAGGGAAAACTCCATGCTAAAGTTCTTACCTTTTCTTGTGGTGCAGTTGTCCAGGAGAGGGAAATGCCATTAACCTACTTAACAGTGTCATTAAGAGTAAATTATGCTGAGTTTAGGTTCTCATAGATGCTTAACCTTCCAGTGAAGGAATGTGGTCCAAGATCTGAAATGCTGTCCAGACCTGCACATGATAGTGCCAGATCAAGAGCTATTACATGCAAAGCAACTGCCTGACTTCTAACAGCACTGTGTGCTGGTTTGGGCTGAAGTAGAGTTAACATTCTTCACGGTGGCTAGTAAGGAGTTGGTGCCCAGCAACTTCACGCAACACACCACCTCTCCTGTCCTGAGTGACCACCAGAACAGATGGAGCCCAAAGTCATGGATTAGATGAATTAAATAGACATTTGTGGCCACTTTAAGGACATTTTGCAGGGGTGGTCCATAGACTAAGGGAACAACATCTGCGTATTGTGTCAAAATATGGGAAGAGGGTTGGTGCTTAATGAAGTTGTATTGAATACTGTGGGACCTGGGCATGATGTAAATGGCATGGAATAAGGGGTGGAATGTGCTGGTTTGGGCTGAAGTAGAGTTAACGTTCTTCACAGTGACTAGTACGGGGCTATGTTTGGGGTTTGTGCTGAACACAGGGTTGATAATCTACAGATGCTTTTGTATGATGAGCAGAGCTCACACAGAGCCAAGGCCTTTACCACTTTCTGTACTGCCATACTGTCAAGGAAGATGGGGATACATGGGAGATTGGGAGGAGACACAGCTGGGACAGGTGACCCAACCTGAGCAAAGAGATACTCCATACCATATGACATCATGCATAGTATGGAAACTGAGAGGAAGAAGGAGGAAGGGGCTGGGTGATGGTGTTTGTCTTCCTAAGGAACCGTTATGCGTGATGGGGCCCTGCTCTCCTGGAGATGCTGAACACCTCCTGCCTGTGGGAAGCATGTATGAATTCCTTGTTTAGCTTTGCTTGTGTGCGTGGCTTTTGCTTTCTCTGTTGGACTGTCTGTCTCGACAAAAGGGTTTTTCTGGCTTTTGCCCTTCTGATTGTCTCCCCCATCCCACTGGTGGGGGAGTGTGTGGGCGGCTGCGTGGTCCTTGGTTAAACCATGACACACTGAGCACACTAAGTACACTGAACATAAATCAAACAGCTGAGGCACAAAAATGCAATCAAAATTATGAAGCAGAGAATAAAATAAAAGACATGAGTTCCTTACTTTTGCTTCCCATTCCATTCCTGCAATGGAAATACCCAGCAATATAACCACTGTGATGGCTCCTATGATTCTGATATCATTCATTTCATCAATCATCAATGTACCATTTTCCTAACAAAAGAAACAAACAAAAACACAGCCACGTAATTCATCAGGTACTCAGCTTCGCTTCTACAGAACAGCAGAATAGCAGTTTATGTACTGTAATTTATCAGCAGTTAACGTCTATTAACCTCTAGCCACAATTTACTCATTTTAAAGGAGGCAAGTAATTTGCGTTTTGCCTTGTTTTAAATCGCTGAAACTTCTAAACAGAAGTGAATGGGGTTGTTCAGCCTGGAGAAGAGAAGGCTCCAGTGAGAACTCATAGCTTTCAAGAAAAGAAAAAAATAGGGCTTATAGGAAAGATGAGGACAGACTTCTGGATAGGACTTGTAGTGACAGGACAAGGAGTAATGGTTTTAAACTAAAAGAGGACAGATTTAGGCTAGATGTAAGGGAGAAATATTTCATGGTGAGAGGGTGGTTAAACACTGGGTCAGGTTGTTCAGGGAGGTTATGGCTGCCCCACCCCTGGAAGTGTTCCGGGCCAGGTTGGATGGGGCTTAGAGCAACCTGGCCTAGTGGAAGGTATCTCTGCCCATGGCAGGGGGTGGGACATGATGGCGTGTAACTGTCCCTTTCAACCCAAACCACTATATGATTCTATGAATACAGGTCCACTTCTTGGGCACAGGGTTTGGACTAGATGACCTTCAAAGGTCTCTTCCAAACCACTCTGACTAGACGACAGCTCCAACTTGCATTAAGGACAGTGCAATCAGTATAACCTCCATCATTGATATACCTTGAGTAGCTCCACGACCGTCTCTGCAAAGCCAACAACATACATTGCTACTGCAACAGCATTGGCAAATGCAAAAATCAGACCTATGGCACCACCAAACTCTGGCCCCAGACTTCTGGAAATTAAGTAATATGCTCCTCCTGGGAAAAAAATACAAACAAAAAACCCCACATGATATATCTACATGATAGAGCCTAAGAACAGATCATGGAGATACACATTACAGAGCCCAAGAACAGACAGACATCAGCAATTTTAAGTTTACATGAACAAGATGCTACTCATTCTTGCATATTCCCTGACAGACTGGAAAACAACCCTGAACTCTTTATTTTAGGGACAGGTATGCTGCAGTTTCAGGAATATATTTCAAGAGTTTAAGAAAAGACTCCAGTTGGAAATGACCATATGTACCATGTCGTATTATTCAGCTATGCAGTAAATGACATGGTTAACAAGCAAACTGCAAAACACAAGCAGTAATATTATAGGGCTTTTTACATCAAACTGCTCCAAACATTTGTGCACAGTTCTACTACTACACATTTTCTTTAGTTACACATCAAGAAACTGGCAAAGTGGACTGTAATAAACCCATTGAAGTTCCAAACCTCAAAGACCTGTTTATTAAAGCTCCGTTAAATTAAACTAAATTGAAATTGAATTAAAGCTCTGTTAAAGGAGTCTTCTGCCCTCTAATGAGACTCCCGAAACAATCACATGGCCACTCTATTTTTAAGGGTCTATTCTTTGTATTTTTGAGCTTGACAAATACAACAGCTCGAACACCACATGGCAAATGGAAATTTGAGTGTCACAGGAAAGTGTAGAAAATGTAGCAAAAACATATTCCTCAAATTTAAGGCTAAGCTTTCTAGAAGTAATGAAGTCCTCCAATTCCAGCCTGAGGTAATTAAGTACATGTTAAAAATCTGCAGCAGGAAATCTTCAATTTTACTGCATTACGTTTGTTGTGCAAATCATATGTTTGTACCCAGGTTAGACACACTCTGCAAATGAGAATGTTAACACAAGAAAAACATTACTGTAACGTAAGATTTTCACCGGAACAGCTGTGATTTTATTCTACAGTTCCCACTCAGAACTGCAAATTTTCTCATGAAGTACTGTATTTATGGGTGACTCTAAAAAAAGAAAAGACTCCCATAAAAATGGGAAAATCTGATATGCATAATGCAATTAAAAATAAAGGCCATTCAGAAACTAAACTTGACATAATGCTAACACTCATAGCTGATCTTTCCCCTTAGGTCTGTTTACTTTGTGATAATGAGCTTTTTCTGTTCATTCTTAAGCTTAATGAGGATAATTTTAAAAGTCTGTATTTTCTTACAAAAACATTTTGTAGGAATTGCTGACAACAGCACACAAACCATGAAAGGGAATGAAAACCATCAGCCTCAGAAAAGCTGGAGGTAACCATGAGTTTGGAGAGTTACTTGTGTGAAGGTTTATTCTGGGACATGAACACATCCATGCACTCTTAAACAACCAGTGCAGGTGAAGGAGAAACTCAAGACCCTTTTCATTCCTGGATAAGCATCCCTAAAAAAATGTTTCGTATTCCAAAAATTAACAACAGAGAATGTTTCTTCCACAAAACCCCTAGTCAAATGAAATTATCAGGCTGTTGACCTTTTACTAATCAACATGACTGTTTGGTCAAATACAGCACACAAGGAAGACTCTGCTCCTCAGCAACCTTCAGGCGTACACTGCAGAGTGATGAAAGCTTTAAACACTGTATGAAAGAAGCATTACCTCCTCTTACAAAGCCATTTGTGGCTATTGCTGAAGTAGACAGTCCTGTAATAGTTGTCACTACAGTGGCCATTCCAATAACCACGACAGAGAGTCCTTTGGGAAACAGAAGGGAAAAAGGATGTAAGCCTAGCAATGTTTGAGTACGAACCTACAAATCAGTCTTGCAAATACAACACGAATTTACTGTATGTGGTCCCCATACATTCAAGCATAAGGCTTCTTCTCACCCCCTTTTGTACAGAGGACACAAATAAAACTGGATAAATGTTCTCTTAAATCAGCAAGATAAGAGCTATATTCCAAAGCTTCAAAGGGAACACATGACTTCTGCAGATCAGAGATTTTCTGCAGCCCTATACTAAGTTAAGCCTTTGAAGAAAAATTGCTTATATACTACAAGGTCTACACACAGATTTTAATAACCAGGTATCAAAAGTTTCTCTCTATAGTTCACTGAATATTTACAAATTTCAATTTTAAAATTAATGCCTTATACTGAAATGAGAAAGTCTCAGTAACTGCTCAAAGTTTTGATAAGGGTAAATTACTATAAAACCTGACAATATTAAGGTAATTTTCTAGTTCTGTTTAAAATGTCAGCTCAGGATTAACACCTCTCTTGGGTCACATTTAAAAGCCACTGAAATGAAATTAAAACATTAGCACACATACCTATTCCAGCTTGTCCTACAATCCATGATAGTCTGATGAAGAGCATCACACCCCAGATATTTAACATACATCGTACCTAAGACAGAACAGAAATTTTACCATGGTTAGGTCTTACACCTGCAGTGATTTTCACTAATTCTTCATTTCAGCTTTGAATGTTCTTGAAATTAATCTTGCTGGTTTTCCTCACTTTTCCAATTATTTCACAGGAAGAGATTTTCTTATTAGACAAGTTTAGGTTCGGTTAAAAAAAACCAAAACCAAACAGGTACCTAAATATGATTTACAAGTTACTGCCTTGAACACAGATAAAGTTAACAGCACTTCAGTATCTGACACTTGCAGTATGTCTTGACCAAACAATAAAAACAGTTCAGACCCCAACCTTTGGGGTCAAAAATTTATGGTACAGAATACATGGCTAAAAATAACATAAGAGGTCTACAATCCTAGTTCAGATCTCCCACGAATCTCTCAAAAAATACACTAAAGCAGACCCTACTAAATAATTTATTATCTTAAAACAACAAACAACTGCCACAACTTCCCAGTCCTAAAACCTTCGTATCTTACAACACAGCTGCAGAATAACAGAATGGAGGGGTGTATATTCCTTTAACCCTTGTATTTAAAACTTAGTACTCAATAAAAATAAAGAGCTTGCACTGTACAGAATTTAGACAGGAGACTAAAAGCAGATCTTGAATGTCTCTCTTACCTAAAGAATAGAGTATCAATCCTACAAAAAGAAGGGAGACAAGGACCTCTCCAAACCACAAAAGTAAAGTTCTCAGAGATATAAAAGGTATTTTGCAAAATGTAGATCACCTGAGCTGGAATATTCACCCAGGTGGCTTAAGCTTACTAGGAAATACTAGCTGCAACTTCCAAAGTACTGAAAATGAGGAAATTCTTGAGACTTTTAAATTGACTTTGGGAGGAAACAGCCAGCAACGTTTATCCTGTAACTCTCTACTACTTGGAATGTTTCCTTACAAGAACAGTCCAACAGAGAATTTGGGTTTGGAGAAACTCAAAGGCAGCTTCACACCTCCTTTAAAATGAGCAGCTCTGTCCTGGGCTGTCTTACATCAGCAGAAGTCCCACATGTTTCACAGCTGCCACAGGCACTCTCCTTCTCCAGAGGTAGGGAATGTTGCTACTTCAAGACTTGAAAGAAGTTGCTGATACACAGTGGGAACTGTGTATTACTGCTCAACTTGAGGTAGGAGTTCTGAATGCTCAAGTTCAGCATGTTCTAAGCAGCTGTCACATCTGCAGCCACCACTAAACATCCTTATAGCTTTGGAGAACACATACTAATCATGGTTTCTCCTTGCCAAAGTATTAAAAAAGAATTAAAATGAGCTTGTAATAAAAAACCCTCAGGTAACCCACAATGTTTCCAAATCAGGACAAAATCATTTTTTTCTACCATGACTACACTGCATTAAGTGTCAAGACTTCTACAGCTTAGGAAATTACATGTTTAACAAAACTGAAATACTTAATCCTGGTCAGGTTTTGCCATATATGTGCAGGTACTCCACTTGACAGGTTATTTTTTGTTTCTTAATGTCCAGATTCAAAGTGAACAAACATTAAGTGTATTGCCCCCATCTGCATTTGTCCTTGTCAGTTAAAATTTGGATGCAGTTTTTCTATACTACTTCATTCTTTCTTTTTCCTTCTTGGAAATTATGCAACTTAAAAACTCTAAAACCTGTGCTTGGAAACAACGACCCCTTAGAAACCTGAAGTCATGAAGTATTTGCTTCCTTAAAATTCCGTACGAGTAGGAGTGACCCTTATGAACCCTTTTATTAAGGCATTTTTCACACCTCTCATACATATAATCTTTTCTTTATACAGCACTATCATAATCTCTCTCAAAAAAGGTTATTAGGAAGATCATATATGTAAGAAACTGAAGAACAACACGTCAAACTTACCAATACACCTTTGATCCAGCCAAACTTGACCACTCCTTTGCTATCCGGTGTATAAGTAGCAGCTGCTTCCCCAGCTGGTGTACTTTCCTCACCATTTGCATATCCATCTTCAAAAGGTTCCTTGGAAAATAAAAACAAAAAGTTTATATGTGATGTGATTGACAGAGCAGAGTGAGCATGTGATGTTGTAAAAAACCAAACATCTACTTGTGTAAATAGAACAATAGAGAATGACATGGCACAGGTTTGGAGCCGTTTCTTTATATTCCTTGCATGATGCACATCTCAAATTTCAAGGAATGTAAAACAAACTGACAAGAGGAACTGTTAGCACTCAGAGTAATAACTATTTTCAGAATCAGTTCTACATCCCTAAAAAACCAAACACCTGGTCTCTTAGAAAAGGAGCTGAAAGATTTCAAATGCAGTGGCTTCTACAGCACAGGAAGTTTTATACTGCTCTGCCACAAGTTACAGGTCTCAGCTATAGCATTTCAGACTTGGCTGTCATTTGATCAATTTTTCAGGAAATAAATTATTCACTTCCCTGTGAACTATTCTACTATTCATTGTAAGGTGATGCCGTGAAAAGGAAGGGTGGGAGATTGGAATTTCACAGAAAACGAGGGAAGAGAAGTCTCCTCCCAAATGCTTTTTTCTGTTTAAACAGGAAGGATGACAGATGCAGAAAATATCAGCCCCATGGACAAAGACCAACTTTCAGGTTTTCTTTACAACTCAACTCTCAACCTCACAGCGCAGAAATCTTAACTGTTTAATATACAGTACAAACATATGTGTATGTACACTGTATATGGTTGCTTTTCAAGAGGTGGTTTTGTTTTGCCAAGCTAAACGCCAGGACATTTAAACTCAAATATTTCCTACATTTGCCATAAGAAATCTGTAAGAAGTACTCTAAGCAATGTTAGTTACTCAAGGCAACAAGAATTAAGAATGAACATATTAGAAAGACCCTGAATTCCCTTCAACAAACCAGCTCAAGAAGTGTGTTGTGAAGCAGCTTCCATCCCAGAGGGCTTAGCAAACATTTAAGCAATCAGAGGTTCAATCTCAGTGAAGTAAAGGGCAAAACTCCCATCTGCTAAGTAAGACACAAAATAGGCTGGACACAAATAAGGCTTTCAAGAAGTATGTTCTGTGCTGAAATGAAGCAGTAAGAAAGGATTCAATACAGTATCTCACATTAATCTTCCTCCTCCTGATACACTACCATCAGCACAGAGTCCAGAGGAAATACTTCTGGAACTGTCAGCTATGGAGTCATCCATATCCCCTTCGAATCAGCAATAAACATACAAATCAGATTATCTCAACTTTATCCAAACGTCATCAGCACAGATTCACAGTGCTTCTCTCACTGATACTGAATTATGGAATTCTCATAAAAACAGGTACACTGCAACACATCTGGAGATCCTGTAAGGCATAAGCTTCCCACCAGTAGGCAGAATCACGACCAGTTTCAAGATCATGACCTTACACTTGAAGAAAGTTATCTATGAATTTTCTTGCCTCCAGAAGGGATTAAAAAAAGATAGACATCTATGTTTTTCATAT